TTTCTACTCCCTCGTTCAAGTCACTAATGAAGATATTGAATAGTACTGGTCCCAGGACAGAACCTTGGGGGACTCCGCTGCCCACATTTCTCCAGGAAGAAATCGACCCGTCCACCACCACTCTCTGGGTGCATCTGATAAACCAATTTTCCACCCACCGGATTGTGTAATAATCTACATTGCAACTGTTTACTTATAAGAATTGGGTGTGACACAGTGTCAAAGGTCTTTTTAAAAACTAAGTAAATAACATCTACCTCTATTCCTTCATCCAAGCATTTTGTGACCTAGTCATAAAATGAAACCAGGTTAGTCAGGCAGGATCTGCCTGCTATGAACCCATGATGATTGCCCCTTACCATCATTTTTCTTGCTGGTCCCTCACAAATATGGTCCTTAACAATTTTCTTGAAGGTCTTGCCAAGGATAGAGGTGAGACTAACCGGCCTATAGTTACCTGGTTCCTCTTTCTTCCCCTTCTTGAAAATAGGGACCACATTGGCCCTTTTCCAATCCTCCAGGACCTGTCCTGAGCACCACGAGTGCTCAAGCAGTTGTGCCAGCGGCTCCACTATGACTCCAGCTAATTCCCTAAGTAACCTAGGATGAAGATCATCAGCACCTGTTGACTTAAATACATTCAACCCCTCCAGGTGCCCCTTTACTAGGTCAGCTTGTACAGTTGGTGGGTTGGTATCTATACTGGGCTTACCTAAGGTCCCAATGGGATGTGTATTCGTATTCGTATCCAGGAACACTGATGCAAATAAATCATTTAGAAGCTCTGCTTTGGCCATCCTATCTGTTATCAGTTGCCCTAGTTCATCCTGAAGGGGCCCTAAGTTACCCTGCACCTCCTTTTTGTTTCCCATGTACTTAAAGAATGACTTTTTGTTATCCTTAACTTTTGCTGCCAGCCTAAGCTCCTGTGACAGTTGAAAATTATGTCTGTGTGATAAATGTACTTGCTGAAGGCTCTATGAAGATTAGACCAAGTGTTTTTCTGTCATTTGTTCAAATATTAAGCTATATGTTGTTGCTAAGAATCTAATTAAAGTTTAAGATGTAGTAAGGCCTTGTATAAAGTAAGGCCTAGTAAATTTAGCAAAGTCTTGAAGTAGTAAGGCCCTCTGGCATAGTTAAAATTAACCTTATCAAAGGAATGCAAAGCTTGTACTGCTATTAGTCAGTCTAAGGACAGTTGAAGTAAAAAGAATCTGAATGGCTGTAACTTATCAGCACAGCTCAGAATGAGAAATTGGCTGGCACACAGAAATCATTCAGAAGGAAGATACAGCTCTGTAAAAGGGATTAATTAGCTGTTGACCTGGATTAGCGGGACAATGGATCTCGAGAAGCCCAAGGACTGAATACCAGGGTCCTTCCCGGTACCTCTCGGACAGCGCTGATCGGGACGCCTGGCTTCGCTGAGCTTTGTGGAAAGAGAAACTTGTACATCAGGCATCAGAGGGGCCTGCCAATAAGTTGCCGATGTGAATTATTATTGTCTGTCATTATCTGTTTTAGTATACTACGCGTAGTCGTGTTTTTGTTAAGTCAATAAACCTTTCTTACCTTTCTACCCCCTGATCACACTCTCAATCAATCTTGAACCCTCTGCAGGTGGCTGGGACAGCTCCATTTCCACTTTGGCTATCCTCACTGTTTCCCTGCAAGCTCGAGCCAAGCAGGTATACTTCTCCTTGGTGGCAGCCCCTTGCTTCCATAGCCTGTAGGCCTCTTTTTTTCCCTCCAGGCTCTCCTGGATTTCCCTGCTCCACCAAGAGGGTTTCTTTGCTTTTTTGCCCCCTTTTATGTGTACTGGGATGGTCCTTTTCTGTGCCTGCAGGATTAGTCCCTTGAGAAATGCCCACCCTTCCTGGACTCCCATCTCTCCAAGGCTTTTACCAGTCAGTCCCCAAAGCCTGAATCAGTGGATGGAGGTGCTGGTGAAGACAGTCAAGGAGGCAGAACGGCGGGGGGAGGGGGGCGGAGGTAGGGGGACATGGAAGACAGGGATCCACTGTCCCATGCCAGAACACCATCTACCAGCCAGTCTCCTCCTCTACCACAGGCACTGCCAATGTGGGCCAGGGGCATGGCTTCCATGGTTGGGTCTAGAGGCACCAGATCCCAGCATCAGGCAGGTAGAACTCAGGCCTTGGTGGCTGCCTATCTCACCAAGGATGTGGAGCCGCTGCTGTGCGATCCCTTAGGCTACTGGGCAAGCTGCAGCCAAATGTAGCTGGATCTGTCCATGGTTGCCTGGGAACACCTGTCCTGTCCACCAACAAGTGTTCCAAACAAGAGTGTGTTCAGCATTGCTGGGAGTGTAGTGACACCCCATCACACCTCTTTGGATCCTGGTTTGGGGGAGCAGCTGGTGTTCCTGAAGGTGAACCTCCTGCTGCTGGGGTTCCCCAAGCTCCAGGTGCTGATGGAGTGAATGCCACTCCTCACTCTGCCCACACCTATTTCCTTTTTTCATTTTTTTAAAACCATTTAATGTTCCACTCTCAGAGCTGGAAGGGGCACTCACTACATCACCAGCCAGCAGGGGAAGAACATATCCCTGCTGAGCTCCTGTGCCAGGATGAACTTGGAGGTATGGACTGGGGCTATGGGGAAGGAAGAGGCCCTAGGTCCTGGGCATGGCCACTAAAACTGCACTCTGCCAGGGTCGGGGAGGCCTGGTGGGACTGCGGATGGTGCAGCAGCCCCAGGAAATGCCAGGACTGAGAATCCCCCTGGTGAAAGGCAGGTAGGAGGTGCCATAACCTCCAGCTACCACACGCACGCACACAGTTCTGGCTAGGGAAAGCCCAGACCTGTCACATCTTTGACAGGCCTGAGGTTTGCTGGTTACAGTGTAGTTGTGAGACTCCAGGTGAGCTCAGCTTAGCTACCTGGGATGTCAGCTTTCAGGTTGAAAAACCCTGTCAGGCTGAGGAGGCACCTGTAGTTGGTGTGTCTCCTGGTCCTGGCTGAAAGAAATAGTAAAGAAGCCAGAGGCTGGCATACAATGGAGGCAAGAAAGCCAGTCAGTGAAAATGGAAATGGAGGCATCAGGGGGTGAGGGACAGGCTGAGCTGGTGGTGGAGAAGGGGGATGTAGCAGCGCAGGTAAAAGCGGAGAGGTACTTGGGAAGGCAGATGTCTGGCAGGTTGCAGTGTGTCAGAATTCCACTGTCTATATTGAGTTCATGACTTTCTGTACCTAGGAGGTTGATGAAGTGCAGTTCACAACCCAGTGCCCCTCACTCCTGACCCGATGCTCCCTGCCCCCAGGTCATGTAGTCCAACCCCCTGCTCAAAGCAGAACTATCGGCAACTAGATCATCCCATCAAAAGCTTTGTCTAGCTGGGTTTTCAAAACCCCCAAGGATGGCGCTTCCACCACTGCTCTGGGTAACCTGTTCCAGTGTTTTGCTACCATCCTAGTGAAAAAAATTCTTCGTAATATCTAACCTAAACTTCCCTTGTTGCAACTTGAGACTGTTGCTCCTCATTCTGTCATCTGCCACCACAGAGAATAGCCTAGATCCAACCTCATGTATTCCCTTTCTTATGTTCATATTCTCTGTTTCATATATTCTTCTTGCATATATTCTTACCACCCACATTTGGGTTGTGACCCACGGGTTGAGAAACGCTGCTCTAGATCAGTGGTTCTCAACTTTTTTTGTACCAGGACCCATTTGTAAACATCGATGGCCAGTCCCGACCTGCTGCCCCCTATTGTGTGGGGCAGGGCTTCATGTGTGGGGCAGAGGGTGGGCGTGTGTGGGGCATGGCCATAGGCGATTAGTAGAGGGGATACCGGGGGGGTGGTCCCCTGCCACCGCTGCTGCCAGCAGCTTCTGCAGGTGCTCGTGAGCCCCGTCCCTGCCACTGACTTCTGCGGGTGCCCCCCCCAGACTCAGGAGGCACCAGTCGCCCATAGACATGGGGGCCCCAAGCAGCCCTGTGCAACCTGGAACTCTGACAGCCTGCTAGGGAGAAGCCACAGTTCCCCACGTTTTTCTCATTTTTAAAGTTTGGTGATCCATGTGTTGATCTACCCGTTGCATCTCATGCAAAACTAGAGAAGTGATACTCCCACTGTACTCTGCACTGGTGAGACCGCAGCTGGAGTACTGCATCCAGTTCTGGGCACCGCACTTCAACAAGGATGTGGAAAAACTTGAGATGTTCCCTAGACTAGCCACCTGTATGATCAGGGACTTTCAAGACAAGCCATACCAGGAGAGGCTGAGGGACTTGGGCCTCTTCAGCCTACAGAAAGAGAAGGCTAAGAGGGGACTTGGTAGTGGCTTATTGCTACATCAGGGGGGTCAGACTTCAAGGTCTTGGTGAACAGCTGTTCACCAGGGCACCCCTGGGGAAGACCAGGAGCAATGGGTACAAACTCCTGGAAGGCCGCTTCAGGCTCAATTCCAGCAAAAACTCCTTCACAGTCCGGGTGTCCAGACTGTGGAATTAACTCCCTCCACTGGTGGACCAGGTTCATTGGATGAATCTGATATCTTGTATTAGACCAACTTAAATATTTGGAAAAAAAAATTTAGAGCCTTGTCTGCCTATGTCCTTAAACCAACACAGCTACAACCTACACCTCTCCAGCGGTGGTGCAGTCGCCTACCCTGGAAATCTTCAAGAGGAGCCTGGACAGTCACCTCACTGGGCTCACCTGACCCCAGTTGTCTTTTCCTGCCTAGTGCAGGGGGACTGGACCGGGTGATCTACAAGGTCCCTCCCAGGCCCTAGCCATCTATGAATTTATTCCCGTGGCCCACTTCTGGGTCTGACCACGAGTTTAGTCCGATGACTTCCCTGGCAGCCTGAGGAGCTGCTGTGGCTTGGCACCAGCAGAAGAGGAGGGTGCAAAGGAGCAGGGGACCAACGTGTGGGCCCCGACCCAGCCCCGCGGGGAGCAGCAGCCAGACTACACCTCCCAGGGCGCCCCGCGGCGGGGCGAGGGCGGAGCCGCCTCGCGGGGGCGGGGGCTCAGCTGCGCGGCTGGATGCTGCGGGCAGACGTGCTCATGCCGGGCTCCTGGGCTCTGCGTGCCTCGCTGGCCTCCCTCCTCCTCTGCGCCAATGCTCTGCCCTCCGTTTTGTACCGGGGCCACCTGGAGAGAAGCAACGAGAGACCCATCATCGGTAAGGCGGGCGGACGTCCCTGGGCATGTCCCAGGGCAGGGGAGCGCTGCAGCCTGTTAGCACGGGGCATTCACAAAAGTAAAGAATAGCTCCTCCCCCCCAGCTCAGCCCCCTCTGCATAGCTTCAAGCCTAGCTATGCCGGGAGAGAGCCATGGCCCTGCTGACTGAGCCCCTCGCCCCTGTTATGACAGCATGGGCTTCAGCAGCAGCCACCTCTCTCCTGCTGCGAATTGGGGCGTAAGGGCAGCCTCCACCCAGGACTCAGTTCCTGGTTGGCGCTGTTCCCAAAAGTAAAGAAAAGCCCTTCCACGATCTTTGGCAGGAAGAGCTCTTGATGTTGAAAAGAAAGAGTTCCCCGTGAAGGAGCTGGCCACTGGCAGCCTTTCAATTTCCTTTTGCTTTCGATAGCTAAAGTTAATCGTGATCTCCACCAGCATCAGCTTTTTGGTCGGTTTCTTTTCCCTTTGTGGTTGTGCGGGTATGTTTTTAATATCACTTCTGTTATAATCAGGGGGAGGCAAACCCCTTGAGAGAGGTTGGGAGGCACATCTCTGGCCGATATACATGAAATGAATGGAGCCACAGCAGTTTGTGCAAAGTTAAAGCTATGGCCCATTGGGTTTCAAAATACCCTGTGGTTTTTGCAATTTTTCCGAAGTCATAATATGGCAAGTCATGTGATACAGTTGCCCAGCTGAGTGATAAAAGGTCAGTGAACTGTTTTAGTCTGTTACCTGCATGATGCTGTTCAGAAACTATCAAGATAACGTGAAGGACCCCTATCCTGCAAGTACACACGTGCTTAACTTGACACACGGGTGTATTTGGTAGCCCTGTTGGTATGAGACAAAAAGAAATGCAAAACTGTAGAACTCTTGGTTCAGAGATGATACCTTTTACTAGACCAACTAAGAAATTGCAAAAAAATTATCTAATAATGATTCTTGTTATATAATAATAATAATAATAATAAAGAATCATTATTAGATAATTTTTTTGCAATTTCTTAGTTGGTCTAGTAAAAGGTATCATCTCTGAACCAAGAGTTCTACAGTTTTGCACAACTTGACACAGAGCGTCTATGAGACATTACTGTGCAGTGGTTACTGCACATTTATTTAGCACTTATATAATCAAGTAGTAAATAAATGCTCAGTAACTGGAGTTACTGCGCAGTAGCGCCAACAAATGTCTTAAGTCATGCTGCTGCTCAGTAACTTAATAATACTGCACAGTAGCGTATTAGCTCTGTTAGTGCTATGACGCACTACTGCACAGTATTATTCGGTTGCTACACAGTCAGTCTCTCACGTAGATGTGCCCACGCACAAATTGTTGTTATTTCCAGGAGGCTACTCCCTTGCTTAAAATGAAGCACATACCCAAGTGTTTGAAATAATAGAGCCCAGCAGGGTATTGATTTGAGAATTCGAGATGCCTTTTTCTGTACAGTTTTATATGATTAAAGTTTAAGATGCAGGATTAATATCTCCATTGTTTATGCATTTTATAGTTACAAAAAGTCCGTTAAAAAGGTGAAAATGGAACATTCCAAAATGCTTATTGCCACCACAAAAATAGCCTGCAGCAGATATGTTGGACTGCACAGTAAATAGTATCATCTCACCTCGAATACAAATACCATGTTCACAGTTTTTTGATCTGTTTGGCTGTACTCATGAAGCCAAAGAAGCCTTATTGATGTTTATAGGATTTCATAAATTCTATACATATGTGGATTAACCTTCAGGTCACATCACTAGATTGTAAAGTCTTTGGAGTTGATGCCTTGTTTTTAAAGTGTTCTTTTGTGGCACTGGTCAGACAAATAAAGCAAGGAATTCAAAGTTCAGACTACAACAAAAGCTGTGTTAACCAGCACATTACAAGTGGGCATGCTCTGTTAACCGGCATTCTGGCTTGTAAGGGCATGTAAGGGAAAAGTGAAACTGGAAGTGCCCACCGTGGCACTTCCAGTTTTGCGGAGCCCCGACGGGCTGGGGGGAAAGCAGTCTGCGCTGCCAAGCCCCCATGGCCCTGGGTATAGCAGTCTGCATGGGTCCCCCCTCCCTGTCCCTCGGGGCCCATGGGGCTTGTGGGAGGGGTGGCAATGCGGCAGGAGGGGCAGCGACACCTCAGACGCGGCGGGACAGGTGGCATCCTGAACAGGCAAAGATGCCTGTTTGGGCCACTCAGTTATCCGGCATATTTTGTTATCCAGCACCCTCCATTCCCTGTGGGTGCCAGATAACAAAGCTTTTACTGTATTAAGTTGGTAATGCTGTTTGCTAATGACCCAAGTTTTTGCATACTTCATAATTACTTTTTAGTCATTAAGTGTAATACTTAATGCAGCATGTGAATCAAGTCAGTGACACGATCAAGGGGTATAGATTTAATTTTTCTTCTCCTGGAATATAATTATTTTTATTTGTAAAGCACATATCATCTTTTTTTTTCTGGGCTCCTTAGGGATATTGACACAGGAATGTTCCCCATCGTTCTTGAAGCATGGGAAGTCCTACCTTGCTGCTTCATACGTGAAGTTTATAGAATCAGCTGGGGCACGGGTCATGCCAATAAGGTAAGGTCCCACATAGTTGTAGTTGGGTCGTAATTCCAGGTTTTTTTAAACCCTTAAGTCCTAATCTTGTCAGGTGCTGAAACCACATACAGTAAAAGCTGAGTTATCCAGTACCTTACAAGCCAGCAAACTCTGTTAAGTGGCATACCATCTTGTAAGGGCTTGTAAGAAAAAAGTGAAACTGGAAGTGCCCACCGTGGCACTTCTGGTTTCTCAGAGCCCTCACGGCCCAGGGAAAAGCAGCCTGCGCTGCCAAGCCCCCCATGGCCTGGGGCCCCAGCAGGACACCTGCAGCTTTAGGGGCTCATTGTGTGGCTCCATCCTCTCCTACACCATGCTCCATGCCTTGTGGATGTTATCACTCACTGATGTCACTTGAGGTTTGTTCCACTTAGCCCCTCTCTGGGCTACCTTGATACTCTCAGGCCCTCTGTCTCGGCTTTCACACCCTTGGATCCCCTTTCAGCCTCTCTGTCTGGACTCTTCGACCCTGGTCCAACCACTCCCTGGGCTTTCAGACTCTGGTCTGATGCTCAGTCCCCCTTGGGCCCCCTGGCTTCTGGACCTCCTTTGGTCCTGCTCTCTCTCAGCCCATGCTGAGCTCCTGGATCCTCTCTGATCCTGCTTCCAGTCTCTTTCGGGGTCTTGGCTTGTGGATCTTCGGATCCCCACTCTCTGGGCTCCTGCACTCACTGATGGGCTCCACTCTTAGCTCCTCCTATGCTACTGGTTCTCTAAGTGGGCCTTGAACCTGCACCCATCAGGGCTCAAGGCTAAACCCTGGTACAGCTTAATAAAAAGCATCTGTACCCTCCAAACCTCCTCTAGGCTTAACATAAAACTAAGGGCACCTGCTTTTGAATCAAGTCTCTCTCTGCCCCAGGTATCTTCTCTTGTTACCAGGCCTGCAGAGTTGCTTGCTCTCAGTCAGTTCAGGAGCCCTGCAGCTCTGCTTCCAGGAACTTCTCATTGAATGACTCTCAGGGCTGGCCTGCCTGACCAGGTCAGGCTCAGGGCCTATATGGCTGTATGCCGGCCCTCTTCCCATCACCGTCCGCCACCTGCATGCTGTCTTTTTGGCTGCTTGCCTTCTGAAAGGGACAGGCACACCCCATTGTCCTGTCACACACTGCATTAAAAGTTTCTGCTTAACCTTGAACTTAGCAGTCTGCTAAATATATTTGATAGTTTTCAGGCTATTGTAGTGCCATAAATAAAGCTAGGGCTCCAGGTATAATGGGAAACTGCCAATAGTCTTAATTTGTTTGAGAGAGAGTTCATTTCTTAATGTCATTAAGAAACTACTGCTACACAGAGCTCCATGTTTTGTGAGTATTTCAAATACTGGATAAATATGGCAAAGACAGTGCGGGAAATACTACTGCTTATTAGCCAACAGAAAAATGTAAAATAACAATATTGAATACTATGTTAATATGAATTAACATAGTACAGCAGGTAATGCTGCTGCTACAGAACAGAATCACAACCAGGTTTGAATCCCACATAAAATTCCTTTTGATAGTCAAAGTTTTGCTGACCATGTTGGTCTTCCTCACCTTTTCCATCTAGTGTGTGTTAGCAAAACAGGTAAGTGGCCAAAGGTAAATTTTCACAAAGGTCAAATTGTGAAGAAGGTTAACTGAAAACTAGAGTTTCCAGTGTGCAAAAAAGCTCACAGTTCATTGAGCTGTTTGCTCAGCTGCAGGGGATTCCTAGGGTTCTCATCCCCAATCCTCTTTCCCACTAGACCATTTTTCCTGGGGAGTAGAGACCAGGAAGCCCTGGCAATGTGGCAGATCTGTCGGCAACTGTGCCTTGGATTTGGCAAAAACTCATTGACTCCACAGCTAGAGTATTTCAGATGAAATATTCTAAGATCAAAAAAGGAATGTAAATGTGAAAGGCATGTGCCTGTCAGTTCTTTACTTATAAAGCACTTCCACTTCAGAGAGCTCCTTCTTTGTCCGCTCCTAGTAAAGGGAGTGTTTTCTTTTTAAAATGGGAGAGGTGGGAATCATTCGAGCATCCCAAACAGCGCAGTAGATGGCTCTACTCCAAACACTTTTTAGTATGCCACTCCAATTCCCTTTATCCTTGCATGGACTCTGCTCTGTCCTCCATGGGACTATTCCTTTCTCCTCAGCTCTCAGTTCTCCCTGAGACTACCTTTTCTTCCCCTAACTTTCTCAGAGGCTCCCTCTCTCTCCTCTGGCAGTCAGTCACACTTGCAGAAAAACTGTTACAAAACTGTAGTATTATCTTGGGGACAACATTTATCCAATAAAATGAAACATGAAACAAAGTCATGAGGAGCCAATCAGAGAACAGGCTATGTAGTCTGCTGCCAGGCCCAGACTCCTATCTCGCGCTAGATGTCCCACTGGTGAAAAGGGCATCTAGATGTCCTACTTCTGAAACTATTTACAAATATGTACATCAACATATGTTCACCAGTAGTGTTCCCAGTGAGAGCTGTAGGCTAGAACTCAGTCCTCTTAGCCCCTTTTGTCACATCTCTCCCTGGTTTAAAAGTTGATCTGAGCTGGATCACTGCAACCAATGAACCCTTTTTTCATGCATTGGTAATCACATTTCCATTGCTCTTAATGTGAATCACCTGCATGTCATACTTCTGTAGGGCTAGGCTCCATCTCATCAACTTACCATCGGTACCTTTCAGCACCAAACACTTCACCAGGAACTCCTTTTGTACCTGCTAAGCCTGGAACTCCCACCTTCCAGGTAAACCATCCTATCAAGTCCTGGAAATCCCCATGACCCCTGATAGCCTCAAGTCTTAGAAAAACCTGGTATGCTTGGTAGTCTTATTGACCCTGGAGAACCTGATTGTCATTTAGATCTGGTCAATCCAATTTGGCCTGAAACACCTGGAAAGCCTTTGTAACAAGAGGCATTTAGGTTGGACAGTACAAAGAACTTTCTTATTCTGAAGGGGGTTAAGTATTAGAACAGGCTACCTACAGAGGCTGTGGAACCTCTGTCTTTAGATGGTTTTAAGAGCAGGTTAGACCAGGGGTCAGCGCACATTTAGAAGTAACAAGCCAGATTAACAGAGCTCGGTCCAAAGGCAGGCCTTCACCACTTCTACCTTCCCTGCTTCCCCCATTGCTACTGAAATGCCTTTGACATATGGGCTTCATAGGACAGATGGCAAAGATGACTAGATGATCTCCTAAGGTCCTTTTCCAGCCCTACTTTTCTATGATATGATTGTACTTGAACTGTAGGTGTGTCTACATGTGCCCCTATAGCACTGTTGTTACTATGCCATCATTTAGTCCAAGCAGTCCTCAGACTTATGACACAATAGGTTCCTGAAAACCACATCTTAAGTCGAAACGTTGTAACTCAGAACCAATTTTCCCATAGGAAACAATGTTATAAATGGGGGATTAGTTCCTGAACCAGGACCCAATACCCTATTTTCACCAAAAATAACCCAGAATTTTGTACTCAATCAATTATAGATGAGTAATATAGATACATTAATGTATTTATATTTTAAATTGCAATCCTATTGATTTGGAAGGACTTCTTTGAGGAGACTTTGCTGGACGTTTTAAAGGGCTCTTTGCTGGACGTTTTAAAGGCCTCTTCTCAGGAGTCTTGGCTGTAGGTTTTTCTGGAGTCTTGTCCGCTTTCTTAAAGAAAGTGTCCAAGTAAATTTGGACAGATGTTCTCCAGGGAGATGGGCAACACAGCGAACTGTTCGCTGGCGTGGGTTGGTGTCAGATCAAGTATTGTAAAGTTGAAATTGATGTCAGAAACTTGAAACGGGGTGTCAATTTATAAATGTTTTAAGTGCGAAATACTGTAACGCGAAACGTTGTAAGTCGAGGACTGCCTGTATTTCCTTTTAGAACTACTAAATGACAGTGCAATAACAGCCAGCGGCACATGATTATTTTTAGTCCCTATGTCATCGTAGCGATGCGCTATACTGAGGGAGCACATCACTATGGTAATGTAGCTGCAGTGCCACAGTTTGTGCCTGCCAGTGCTATGTTGCCGTAGCATGTTGCTACAACAACGTAGTGTCACATGTAAAGGCACCCAGTGAGTAAGGCTGGCAGAACTGGGCTTTTAGTGACAAGGTTCGTTTTTTTGTCTTTCCTTTTTTCTTTGTACACTTCCTGTTTGACTAATTCTGTGCCAATTGCAAATGGTTGCCAATAAGCACATCTGGTATTTTTATGGAGAATTTCATTAGTTTTAGACAATAACAGTAATTGTATTTGTTGGTATTTCAGATTAAATTGTTCAGATGAAGAGTATGATAGGATTTTTCAGTCTATAAATGGGTAAGTGTTGAACATCAGTCTCCTATTGAAGTTTTTAAAGACATTTCACAATATTAGAGACACTGGTTTACTTTTAAGTCCTTGTTTTTTTTCTATCAGGAATTCAAAGTTCATACGTTTTACTTTTCTTAGTTGGAAGTGCTATTCAGTTCTACTTTTTTTGCAAAGTTTTGATGAGTATTCCCCATTACATGCCTGTGCTAAGACAGGAAGTTATTTTTTTTCTTTTATCCTGCTCTTTAGAAAGTGCTTATTGGTCAGATACCTGTCTGACTGCAAAGTTCTACCCTGGTACTTCTTTTTGTCCATTTGCACGCTGACATGAGCAGTATCTGAATGGTAGTTTTGGCTTTGTACTTTATATCCAATCCATTTCCTTCTACGACCAGGTGACCTATCACCTGGACAAGGGAGAAGAGATTGATGTCATATATCTTGACTTCAAAAAAGCCTTCGATCTGGTTTCCCATGATCGCCTCTTGGAGAAACTGGCCAATTGTCGCCTTGGGTCCTCCACGATCCACTGGCTGGAAAATTGGCTCCGGGGTCGGACCCAGAGGGTAGTAATTGATGGAAGTCACTCATTGTGGTGTCCTGTGACCAGTGGGGTCCCCCAAGGCTCTGTCCTTGGACCCATACTGTTCAACATCTTCATTAATGATGTGGACACTGGAGTCAGAAGCGGACTGGCCAAGTTTGCCGATGACACCAAACTTTGGGGCAAAGCATCCACACCAGAAGACAGGCGGGTGATCCAGGCTGACCTGGACAGGCTCAGCAAGTGGGCGGACGAGAATCTGATGGTGTTCAACGCCGATAAATGCAAAGTTTTCCACCTTGGGAAGAAAAACCCACAACATCCTTATAGGCTCGGCAGTGCTATGTTGGCTAGCACTATGGAAGAAAGAGACTTGGGGGTCATCATTGACCACAAGATGAACATGAGCCTGCAGTGCGATGCTGCGGCTAGTAAAGCAACCAAAACGCTGGCTTGCATCCATAGATGCTTCTCAAGCAAATCCCGGGACGTCATTCTCCCCTTGTACTCGGCCTTAGTGAGGCCGCAGCTGGAGTACTGCGTCCAGTTTTGGGCTCCACAATTCAAAAAGGATGTGGAGAAGCTTGAGAGAGTCCAGAGAAGAGCCACGCGCATGATCAGAGGTCAGGGAAGCAGACCCTACGATGACAGACTGAGAGCCCTGGGGCTCTTTAGCCTGGAAAAGCGCAGGCTCAGGGGTGATCTGATGGCCACCTATAAGTTTATCAGGGGTGACCACCAGTATCTGGGGGAACGTTTGTTCACCAGAGTGCCCCAAGGGATGACGACTAGGTCGAATGGTCATAAACTACTACAAGACCGTTTCAGGCTGGACATAAGGAAGAATTTCTTTACTGTCCAAGCCCCCAAGGTCTGGAACAGCCTGCCACCGGAGGTGGTTCAAGCGCCTTCATTGAACACCTTCAAGAGCAAACTGGATGCTTATCTTGCTGCGATCCTATGACCCCAGCTGACTTCCCCTTTGGGCAGGGGGCTGGACTCGATGATCTTCCGAGGTCCCTTCCAGCCCTAATGTCTATGAAATCTATGAAATCTACAGCTGCCTACTTTCCATTTTTTCTTATTTTGTCAGTACCCATTTTCCAGTGGATTCCTTCATTTTGCCAAAGCTGTTTCACCCTGTTTGCTGCTTCTATCCTCTCCTCATGCCTCCTCCGTATCCTTTTCCAACCTGCTTCATGTTGCCATTCTTCTTCTTGTGGCCTGGTACCAAATCTGATATTTGCTCCTGTTAATATTATTAGGTCTCAGAATTCACCTATCAGACCTTCTCACCTTTTGCTCATAATGTACTCAAATACTGTAGTCAGTGCAGGTATTCATTATTACTAATAAAACCACTGGACATTCTTTTTCAGGGTGCTCTTTCCAGGAGGTGGTGTGAACCTTAAGACTTCACAATATTCCAGTATTGCTCGGATATTTTACAACAAAGCACTAGAGGTAACCATGTAATGGAAGATCCATTCTGATTATTGTGAATGTTTAGAGACCAAAATGACTCGCATTTGGACAATTTCCAGCTGGAATAGAAAATAATAGTATTACAGTAGTATTACTACTACTCTACTATACTCCTATACTATGCTACACTTGATCTTAGCCTACAAGAGGCCGAGAAGCAATTATTGCATCTATTAATAAGCAGCTGGCTATCGGTGTTTGTATAGTAAATCATGCAGTAGTTTAACATGCAAATCTGAACCAAATAACTTCAGACATCACAAAATCTGAATCTGAACTTTAGAGTTTGGGGTCTCTTTTCCTAGTTTCAGGGAAATCAGCTGTTGACTTCTTTTTCTATAGAACTTTATTTCTGAGAAGGATCTTATTCATCCTCTTTGCCTAAACTTATTCAATCTTGCTTGTTATTTCTTTGGAACAGTTTATATTTTGTAAAACAGAAATACTTGTTACTCCTTTTCTATGTTACCTCAGACCAAACATCTTAAAAGTCAGAGTGAGAGTTCAGTACTTTCTGAAAATCAGGTACCATTATGTCATCTCTGTGCCACCACTCTAGCGAACTCAGGAACAATCAGCTGCAGAAAAACAAGCCTTGACTCCTTACTTTGAGTCCTCCCATACACAAGCTGGCAATTATATGGAGTAGACAATTCAGAGAGGTCCTAAACGTATGCCTCAGGTATACTGCCAGTCTCTTTGATTAAATCTTGACTAGAATTTATGCAAAGTCAGGTTAGGAAACACATTTTAATAAATATAATTTGTAAACTAGTGCTGTATCATAGAGCAACAATTTACAATAAATACTTCTACAACTTACAGTTGAGACAGCAGCCCTGGAACACATAGTCACTGGGCACATCTACACTTGCAGTTAATATGACTGAGTATACTCTGACTCAATTTGAGCCGGAATAAACTAATCCTAACACCACTGTCTACATGTGCGCTTAAGTGCAGTAATATACTGCGCTGCCAGATAACACTTATATCTGACAGGACTACCTGGCAGTGCAGTAAATTAGTCTACTGCACCCTAATTGCCGCACAGGTGTAGAAAGCGATGCTTTACTGTGTAGCAAATTAGTCTGCTGTGCAGTAAAGCATCTTTTATAGATGCACCCACTGTGTCACAGGCTGCTGCTTAGTAGCTACTTAACTTGTAGGGGCCTAAAGCCCCTCAACACTGCTGAAGTCCCCAGGCAACTACATTTCTTCCATTAAGCATGCACAAAACTGTGTTGACATCACTTAGCAGCGAGGCATCTAGCTCATACCTGACCCCAAAGGACTCACAAAATAGACTTCTCTGTGCTGATCACCTATGGTGTCTGGGAGATATAAACAGAGCAGTAACCCAGTCATTAGGGCACTCTCAGTTAGGGAAAACCCAAGATTTATAATCCTTCCTCTGCTATTGCTGTTCAAATGCACATTTCTCACTGCCCGCACCTGTGCTCTAATGATCTTATATTTTTGGGTAGCACTGTCTCAGTTTCTCATGTTGAAGTTCTTCCACTTCATGTGAAATATTTATATCACTGTTGGAGCAGGATCTGAAAGCCAGGTCTCCTGGGTGAGTGCTCTAACAAGTTTCTTTCTGACCCAGTGAACATTTAATTATTTCATACAGAGTATAACCACTTCAGCAGG